CGACGATATGGATTTGAGGAAGATGATATTGGAGGAAGGACACCGGAGTAATTTGAGTATTCATCCGGGTGCGAATAAGATGTATCAAGATTTGAAGAAAATCTTTTGGTGGTCCGGATTAAAGAGGGATGTAGCTCGGTTTGTGTATTCGTGTTTGACTTGCCAGAAGTCTAAGGTGGAACATCAGAAGCCTAGCGGTTTGATGCAACCGTTGGATATTCCGGAATGGAAATGGGATAGTATATCAATGGATTTTGTTACGGGCTTACCAAATACGCAAAGAGGCCACAATGCTATTTGGGTGATTGTTGATAGGCTTACTAAATCTGCTCACTTTATTCCGATTGATATTGGTTATCCATTGGAAAAGTTAGCCGAGATTTATATTCGGGTGATTGTGAAGTTGCATGGAGTTCCCAAGAGTATCGTGTCGGATAGAGATCCTAGATTTACTTCGAGATTTTGGGAAGGTTTGCAAGAGGCTTTAGGTTCTAAGTTGAGATTGAGTTCGGCGTATCATCTACAGACGGATGTCCAAACTGAGAGGACGATTCAATCGTTGGAGGACTTGTTGCGTGCTTGTGTGCTCGAGCAAGGTGGTGTTTGGGATAGCTTTTTGGCATTGATTGAGTTCACTTACAACAACAGTTTTCATGCAAGTATTGGTATGGCACCATTTGAGGCTTTGTATGGTCGGAGATGTCGAACACCTTTGTGTTGGCATGAAACCGGAGAGAGATCGGTAGTTGGGCCGGAAATGGTACAACAAACGACGGAGAAGGTGAAGTTTATTCGGGAGAAGATGAAAGCTTCTCAGAATAGGCAAAAGAGTTATCATGACAAGAGAAGGAAGGATCTTGAATTTCAAGAAGGTGACCATGTGTTTTTGAGAGTTACACCGGTTACGGGTGTGGGTCGTGCTTTGAAGTCGAAGAAGTTGACTTCTCGTTTTATCGGTCCGTATCAAATTATTGCACGAGTTGGTGCGGTGGCTTATCGTGTGGCGTTGCCTCCGAATCTTTCGAATTTGCATGATGTGTTCCATGTTTCGCAACTTCGAAAGTATGTTCCAGATCCGTCACATGTGATTCCTATGGACGAGGTGGAGGTAAGAGATAATCTTACGGTTGAGGTTTTACAGGTTATGATTTTGGACCGCGAAGTTAAGAACCTAAGAGGCAAGGATATTTCGCTTGTAAAAGTAGCATGGGGAGGTGCTGCAGAAGGCAATATGACTTGGGAATTGGAGAGTAAGATGCGTGAGTCGCATCCTGAGCTGTTCGAATCAGGTAATATTTTCGAGGACGAAAATTCCTAAGTGGGGGAGAGTTGTAACGCCCCGATTCCGATTTCCTTTATTCTGAGTCCTTTTAATTTAATTGATTGAATTATTATTTTAAATATAGGATTTATGTGTTTAATATGTTATGTGTGCATATTGTTTTGGGCAAAATAGGTTGGAGGGTATTTTGGGCATTAGTGATTATGCTAAGTGGATATTTTTATGAGAATTGATTAATCAGTGTGTGGAAAGAATTTGAGAGGAAAGAAATAGAATTATGAGATAAGAGAGGAAAAGAGAAAAGATAGTAACATAGAAAGAAAAACAAGAGAAAGAAAGAGGAGAAGAGAAAGTGGAGAGAAAAGGAGAGGAAAACCTAGAACTTCAAGAAACCATCACCAAAGCTTTCGATTGATCGGGTAAGGGTGTGAAACTTTATTATTCTACCAATGTGTATAATCATGTATGATTTTGTTGGATTGTTTTGGATTGTTGGTAGTTTTTCTACACTTTCCATTTTAGGTCGAATTTGGTTTAATCGGGAGGAATCGTTGTTTAACGGTTAGAATCGTGATTAGATGATGTAGGTTAGACGATATATGTTGGACTAAGGATACTAGAACAAACTTTGGATTTAATCGGGTGATTTTGGTGAGTTTGGAGGTGCTGGAGTAGAACTGATTGTTGTTGTTCGCAGGCGACTCGCTAGCAGCTCGCTAGGCGAGCACGCAGCGAACTCTCGCTAGCAGTCCGCTAGGCGAGCGTGCAGCGAACGGTCCCAGACTTGGGACAGTGAGATCCTGATGTCCCTCGCTGGAAGCGAAGGGAGTAGAGAGGAGCTCGCTGGAGGTTCGCTGTGGCGAACGGGGTAGCGAACGAGGTATGTAGCCTCTGTTCTTGCTCGCTAGCAGTTCGCTAGGCGAGGAGGTAGCGAACGCTCGCTAGCAGCTCGCTAGGCGAGCGTGTAGCGAACGTAGCAGGATGGATTTTCCCTGTTGCGTGGTGCTGTCGTGGCTTGGGGTTTCGGTTGCGATCAACCCTTCTTTGATTTAATAGCTTATATGCTGGTTTGTGATGTATAGTGGGTAGCCGCATGGCGTGAATCCTAGATTATGATTTGCGGCCGTTTGGGCACTTATGTGCATTGTTTAGCTTGATTAAAAATCTATGATGCTTGTATGAATATATGCGATGAATGTGTAGAACGCATGAGTATGTTTGCAAACATGTGTGCATTTCAAGAGTGTCATGAGTCATGTTGCATGTGAAGCATCATGGTATGCATTTCTTGTGTCGATTGATTCCTTGGTGAATCTGCAGAACCTCGTGTGTCCTTGTGGGGTGTGAGCGATGGTTAATTATTGATCCCTCGGTGGATTTGCAGAACCTCGTATGTTACGATGGTTATTTTGATTCCGTGTAGAATCTGCAGAACCTCGTGTGCCCATGTGGGGTGTGAGCGATGGTTATTTGGTTCTTCAATTGAACCTGCTGAAATGAGTCAGTACCGCATTTGCATCTGCATAGAGTCGTGTGTCGGTCTCTATGAGTTGCATGTTGACATCTTGCATGGTGTATGGTGAATAAACATAATTGTAAATGTTTATATGAATTATTGATGATTGGCATGTTTGGTATGCTTGAAGACACATGTATGTGCGAATATATGTATATGTATGCTTTGTGTGTTTATGAACTGATATAAACATTGTTGACGCATATTGTATATGCATGGTGTTCTATTTGTAAATAGATAATATGAATACATTGCGATGTACGGTATGACGAGGTGAGTGGCGGTGGGAATGCGAAAGACGTATATTGGATATTATGTATATATATAAGTTTATATGCATTGTTTTTATGATATCGTTTCTCACCCTTCTGTGGTTTCTTTTAATGCTCTATGAGGCATTGCAGATTAGATTGCTGGAGGTATTTTTGTGAAGCGTGGCTTCTTTCCTTTTTGGTCGGTCGGCTCTGATATGTAGCACCGGGTAGATAGGAATTATTTTGAGATTCTTTTTGTGATACATCTGTGTATGTATCTGCTGATGATATGTTTTGTAAACATGATGAATGAATATTTGTATATGTGAACATATGTCTTGGAGAATTATGGAATATTTGGATATTTCCGCCTTGTTCTAAATATTTCTTGTGGGTGCTACCCTGTTGTTGCATATCTGTTTGAGCAGGTGTTGTGTGTGTTGGAATTTTTCTGATAATGTGATATTTCCCTTTTATGCCACGTTGCAAATGTACTCTGATGAATTTTTGAGTTTGCGCCTAAATGATTTAATTGTTTATTTTGGGGGTATAGAATGGGGGTGTTACAGACCTCGATGCCACGCAAATGCACCGCCATGTGGAACCGGTGGACATTTTGATAGGTTATGTCATTGAATTTTTTTCCGATCTGTTGTACGCTTTTTTATATTGCAAATATTATTATTATTTTTTGGATTATTTCAATTTTTTCCATTTAATTTCCTAATTTCTTAATTAAAATAATAATTAATAAAAAAGGATTGAACTGAGGTGTCATATTATATGGCGACTCCTTTGAAAAATCAGGGCATTTTAATGGTGTCGCCATATGATATGGTGCATCAGTTAGGGGTTTTGAATGATGTCACCATATGATATGGCGCATCAGTTTAATTCATTTGCATTTTCAATGCTATCGCCATATCATATGACACATGCAGTTAAAAGTAAGTTAGTTTGATATTGTTTTTGAAAACTCAATTATTTTAATATTTTATTTAAAAATATGTGTTATTTCAAAAAAAAATTTACATTTTTGATAACTGAGTTTATTACTAATAATTCTATAATTAATACTTTATTAAATTTGAAAAAAGGAATTGAAAGGAGTAACAAAAATTATTGAGCACATCAATTTTATAAAAAAATTAAAATTTAATCTATTTAATACTTTAGTAAATATTTTTAAATGAATACATAAGAAATATATACGACCATGTATAATAAAAATAATGGTTGTATAATAAAGTTAAATAGTTTATAGTTTATAACTCAAAAGTGATAATTAATAGTTAAAAAGTTATATTTTAGAAAAAAATCAAAACAAATGAAAGTATAAATATTATGTCCCAATACAAAAATTATTTTAAAATAAAGTCAAAATAAAAGAGACAATAACTTTTCATAAAAAAATTACAAAGATTTTTTTTTTAAATATTTCAAATAAAAATCTGATTTTAATAACTATTCTTAAAATATTATTTTATTTATTTAATAATTTTATTCAAATTTTTATTGAATATCAAAATGTTAAAAAATCACCTAATTTTAAAATTATTTTAAATAAATTTTTTATAAAAATTTATTTTTGAAACACAACTTTTTAGAAAAATTATAATTTTAATTATGTTTTGACGTTGAGTAATGTATGTTTATTAAATAATATCAAAATTATTCTTTTAATTTAAAAAATAAAATATAGAAAAAATTTAATATATATAAATTTTTATGAAATTTATTTTTAAAAATATAAAGAAAAAAAAAAAAAGAACTTTTAAATTTGATTAAAAATAGATTAAGGAGACACGGTGTGAGATAATTTAGTTTTCTTAGCCCCTAATTAAAGTACCTTTCCGAATCAACTATAAATAAGCGGTCCTTGTTTTGCTACTCTTGTTATCTATTCTATTCTCTGTTATTACCAATCACTCTCAATTCTCCACTACCAATGGCAGATTCTGTTGACGTTACTCACGATTTTCACTCTATTCTCTCTTCTCCCGATAGAGATTTTCTCGTTCGGAACAACGGCGATCAGGTACTACCACCACCGTTACTCCTCTTCTTCCTTTTTCCATTTTTTATCAATTTGTTATTTCATTGAAATTGTTAACATGTTATGAAGTTTTTTGAAGTGTTAGCTTGATCGGAATTAGTACTTTTATCTGATCTGAAGTGGTGTCCATGTGTTAGTGTTGGTGTAGTGTTTCCGGTGTCTATATGTGTTTCATAGCTTTATAATTGTTGTTTGAAATGGTAGCTTAATTTATACTCATACTAATGGAATATTCTGGTGCTATTTCTTATATTATGAAATTTGAATTCACAGGTTAAAATTGACAGTTTGAAGGGAAAGAAACTTGGTTTCTATTTTTCAGCATCATGGTGTGGTCCGTGTCGAAGATTCACACCAACATTGGTGGAGGTGTACAATGAAATCTCTCCAAAAGGTGAATTTGAGGTTGTTTTTCTCTCGGCAGACGAAGATGAGGAGGGCTTTCAGAGCTACTTTTCCAAGATGCCGTGGTTGGCTGTACCCTTCTCTGATTCAGAGACACGCAGTCGTCTTGATGATTTGTTTCATGTAAACGGCATTCCTCATCTTGCATTGCTTGATGAAACTGGGAAAGTTGTTGCTGAAGATGGTGCTGATATTATCCGTGAGTATGGAGCTGAAGGATACCCTTTTACATCAGAAAGGATCCAAGAGTTGAAAGATCAAGAAGAGGAAGCTAAGAGGAACCAGACCTTGAAGTCTATATTGGTCTCTAGGTCTCGGGACTTTGTGATATCGGCAGATGGAAAAAAAGTAAGCCAGTAACATTTAGATGTATGATATACTCGCTTTGTTCATTTTTTATTGTTGCTTTTATTGAATAAATTGCTCCTTTTCAATTTTTGGTTACAAAGTTCAAAGCAATATTATGTATGTGAGCCGTCTCAAGTTTTGGAGGCACTGTGTGTAGGTTACTCATACTTTAACCATGGCAAAACAAATAGACTCTATTTTATCATAATTGAATATGGCAAATATTTTATGAGACCCTATTTAGCTACAGTTTAACTCTGAAAAATTTGAGGTCCTATGCGGTAGACCCTGATTATAACTATGGTTTTGGTCAATAATACCTTTCGCTAGTTATTGCAGATGAAGAAATAGGTATAATGAGTAGTAGTTTCTTGGTTATTATCTAGCTGTTTGTCACAAATCAGTGGTTCATTTACTAATCCTTTCTTTCATGTGCATACAGACACCTATCTCTGACCTTGAGGGGAAGACAGTTGGTCTGTATTTTTGTGCGACTTCATACAGATCATGTGCAGTATTTACGCAACAGCTTAAGGAGATTTACAAGAAGCTGAAGGAAAATGGGGAGAACTTTGAGGTTGTGTTTACATCTTGAAATGATTAAAAACTATTTTTGTGGAATTTATTGGCATTTGGAAGTATTTTAGTTTGATTAAAATGAAACAGATAAAAAAATTGAAGAAAAGAATGAAAAGAAATAAAATGGAAAAAGATTTGGTGCAATTAGCAACTAGAAACAGTTATGCGCGTTAGGCCTTGAATTGAGGGGGTTCAGATAACACTTTGGGCCCAAGATCCACTCAGAATTCCACTTACTTAAACACACCATTTTACTTAAAGCTTGGTTAACTATGTCAAATTCAATCGTGGCCGTCCGTTTTAAATTGAGTCAACATGGATCAAAGGCTTAACACACAGACACGCAAGCTTGGACTGGTTTTGCACACGCCGAAGAAGATGAACCCTGCGGTGGTTCCGGTTGTCTTCTCCGGCCACCCAAAGTTGCAGGGGGATCTAGACTTAACCAAAACCTACAGTTTTTTAGCCTAAATTCATCTACGCATTGCATTGGTCTTGAATCCATGGTTTATTTTCATTAATTGTCCATAAATATCCCTAATCGAAAGCAACAAGATTGGAGGTTCAATCAAGAATTGTCACTAACAAGCTCTAAACTGATCCAGAATCCATCTATGAACTTAGGGGAGCAAGAATATGTAAAAATGGAAGTCAATTGCTTCCTATACAGAGAGAAATTTTGAGAGATGACTTACTCAACGGAGCACCTCCGTTGGGTCTTGTTTCCTTGATGAAGCTTGATCAAAAACGCCCAGAATCGTTCCTTGATCTTTAATAGAAGTGTTGGAGACCTTGATTTGGATTGAAACTGCTTCAATTGCAAAATTCGATTTCCACTTTTTCTTCATTTTTCTTCAACTAAATTCTGTTATTCTTCCATGGAAATCCCCCCTGAGAGCTTGTGAAGGATGCTACGAATATATACAATGGATCTAGATCACAATAAAGCCCAATCATAGCCTATATTGATCCAATTGAAAATCCAAGTTTTGCACTTTGAAGCTCCATGGTTCACACGAAAATAGAGCTCAAAACCTTCAAACTTGACTAAGGTAGCTTGCTTATGATGTAAGGTAGCTCAATGGACCAGATTAACCCCTTGTTTTGATCTCAATGGTGTGGATTGAATATGTACCTTCATGATGAAGTTACATGGAATTTGGCCATGAAAATGATCTTAAAATTGGTTTCTGAAATTGGCATTGTTCTTAGAATGTTAAAAGGACTAAAAAAATGCATAAACATGATTGAAAATGGTTCAACATGACTTTGATTGAATTTAGCCCTTTTAAATACTTTTCCGTGAAATTTTCTTCATCATTCTTCACATATGAGACATATCCATGACAAGTGATGGTTTGGTGGTGTAATTGACCTCATTTGGAGCAACTTTGATGTTGGGCAAAGTTTCATTTGAGGTGTGCAAAGTTGTGAAATTGACCTATAACCAAAATGACCTATAATCAAAGTTTCCCAAAATACCCTTGGCTTGAAAGCCTCATATCTTGAGCTCCACAAATCAGATGTAAGACTTCTAGTACTTTTTGGAAAGCTAAGATCATAAGGAAAAACTTTCATTTTTGGGTCAAAGTGAGGAGAAACATCCTTCTAGGTCAAAAATGTCTTGGAAGTTGGTTGACTTTTGTTGACCAAAATCACATTCATCTGATGACCTGTAACTTGCCAGCTTCATAACTTGAGTTCTAGAAATGAGATGAATAACTTATAGTACTCAAAAGAAATCTAACAACATTCTCTACAAGTTTCATGTTGGAGTCAAGATGAGATGTGTTGCACCCCAAAATTTGACCAACATTTATTTATCCATCAAGTGTTTGAAAGTTGATACCTTCATCAGAAAGCTCAAGAGATCCTCAGAGGAATTGGTTGAAACCAAGGTTGTGTGCTTCATAGCTTGAGAGTTGTGGGAGCTCCTCAGATGATTCTGGGACTTTGAGAATGAACTTGAAGATTTGAGAAAGCCTATAAGATGTCTTGAAAGCCATCATGAAGCCCAGAGAGGTCATTGTGCAAGAATTCAGAGGATTCAACCATGAATGGTAGAATTAGGGTTTTGACTGGGTCAATCCTAGGTCAGCTGAAGATTTGGAGAAGGCTGAGACCTAACCCAAGGGCCATGAGATCATGGAATGATGTATGGAGATGTTATAAAGATGATTCCTAGACCAACTCATCATGATTGAGGAGTTTAAGAAGTTTTAAGTTAGGGTTTCTAAGGATTGTCAGTGGAAAAACCCTAGTTTGATCCCTATCTTCCAGGCAGTGTTAGCTCAAGATGTGATTGTTATCTCCTCTTCCCCACAACATGAATGTTGTATAGCTTGTTCTTAGATTTAATTTGAGTGGTAGAAGTCCTTGATAGGATGTGCAGAGCTCATGTTATGGTTTTGACAAATTACAGGTCATCTGAGGTATGTGAATCTGGGTCCTTGAAAGTCACCCAACTTGCAGACAACTTTTTCCCTAGTAGGATGATTCCTATGATCTCTTGGTCAACATGAATGTTTAAGAGAATCTTATTAGCTTTCTATAGAGTACTAGAAGTCCTTGATAAGATTTGTATAACTCAACTTATGGTTTAAACAAGACAGGGGTATTTTGGTCATTTGGTGATTATAGGTCATTTTAAGCAAAGGCCATATCTCCTATTTCCAAGCCTCAAATGAAAAAACTCAAAACATAAAAGTTGTTAAAAATGGCATTTTAAGCCTAGTAAAGTGGTCATGATTTGTTGGAAAAGCTTGTAGCAAGGATTGGCAAGAATGGGTGAAAATGACCTAAAAATGGCTTATAACTTAAATGGATCCAAGTTGGAAATTGGTTTGGGAGATCTATGAATCCAAAATAGGTCATCCAATATGTCATTTTGAATCCAAACATCATTTTAAAAACAATGGTTTAAATACATTTTTGATTTGAGGTCTTAAAATGGGGGTTACTTTGTAAAGTTCTTTCTTGCATATTAAGGAACCTTTGAGAAACTTCACCAAAGGCAAGGCTAAGCTTGTTTTTTGCATATACACTCCCAATATCTCTTGTAAGGAGATTTTGACACAAAATTAAGAGGCTTAAGGCATGAGATGAGATAATACCACATGTCATTAAAAGAGAATTTCCAAGACTTTCTAGGGCTTTCTAGATGAATCTAGAGTCTTCCATTGGTTGTTATATATTGAGGGGACCATGATGAAGAAAAAGGTTGGTCAAGGTTGGTGAATTTGGTGAACATAGTGTGGAAAAGGTGAAGAATTTTCTTGTAGCTTCAAGTGCAAGTAAGAAGAAGATTGCTCACACAGCTACAAATCCACTCATTCTTCTTCTCCATTCATGATCCCTTGAGCTTGTGGAGTGCATACAAGAAAGTTTAGAAGCTCATCCATGGCAGAATGAAGAGATATCTTTGAACATTCAAGATTGTATACCAGAATTGCAGCCAAGATTGTAGGCTTCTTACTCCATTTCTTTTGCAAACAGAAGGTTCCCTACACCTCAGAGTTCATTAGTGAGGCTTGCCAAGACTTGGAAAGCAAGATTCCATAGCCATCTTCATAAAACTTGCAGGTATGAAGTTTCATTCGTGCCTCTCTATTTATGCCATGTTAGTGTATGTTTTCAGTTTAGAAATGCTAGGTTAGGATAATAGATCAAGTACACAATCTGTTGTAACCATTGGTGAAGGTTTGAGTTAGGGCTTTGAAACTTTCTTGATCTAGAACACACAGTTTAGGGCACTATAATGTTAGTTAAGATGTGCAGAACACTCCACATAATGCCTAGATTACATTAGTATAAGTTTGGGCAAGTTCCATTAACATGCATATCAGAGTTAATTCAATGGTGCCAAGACTTCCCTCGTTCGGGTTTGATTCTTGGGGGAGTTTCAGGAAAAAACTAAATGCAGGATGTTGAAGAGGGCAATTAGTAGATCATTTTAGGTTTTTGAATTTTTCGTTTTCATCAAGTATTGAGAGAGAACGAGAGGTTTGAATTCGTGCATGAACATGAGAAAAACTGAAAACCCTAGCTTGATTGGGGACGATGGCCATCAGCCGTTGGATCAGTCCCAGAAAATTGACCTTTTAATCCAATCTAACGGTCCCAATTTGAACTTAAAAGCGGAGGGAAATCTCCCAGCCAAAACGCCGCGTTTAAATAAGTGGAAGACCTGGGCTCAGTAAAGTCCATGCTATTGACACCCCCACCAACGACCCAAACCAAGAGTGAACTGAAAACCAATGCTATTTACACCGTGCTCCTAGTCTTTTTCTTTTAATTTTCTGATTACGCATGGGCTTAACAAAGTTGATATTTGCACCCCTGATCTTGGCCCATTTAATAAAATGAACTAGGCGTGTTTTCTTTTGACACCCCCTCCCCTTTTTCTTTTATTCTTTTATTTTCATTTCTTTTAATTTTTCTTGCATATTATAAAATTCATATAAAATTGAAAAATAGATATTTTTTAATTCTTGTTTTTTCTATAGGTTTATAATTTTGTCTAGAAAATTAATAAAAATAAAAATTCCATTTTATTTTTAGTTTAGTATTTTTAGAACATTATTCTTTTAAATAGCTTTTAAATAGGTTTAGTTTGATACTCAATTTTGTAGAATTTCTTTTAGGACCTTCCCTTAGGCTTTTTGAGCCATTCTTTTTGGCATAGTTAGATATTGAATCATAGTTTCCCATAGGATTTAATTCATGATTTTTAGATTAAAATTTGATTAATTTAATTGGGTTAGCATTAGGGTACCTAATTAGGGTTTAAGAATGCATAGGTAAAGTAACTCATTTTCTTTTGAGAGTTGTGTCTTGATTTTTGGGTATGGGAATATAGGGATGTTATGGGTAGATGTGATAGACCCTTGTGAATGATTTTTAGAATTTTCCCCTTGGTCTTTATATTTTTTAGATATTTTCTGAAGTTGACTGATTGTATTGATTGTCTGTGTGATATTTGTCTGTCCTTTGGGGTTTATCTTTGGGGAATTGTTG